TAATAATATAAATAAAACAATCGCAACAATAGTCTCAAACACCACGACCAGAAATATATTCAACAGATGTTATGCCTCTAGTGTAATGGAATTTAATTTCAAATTCCCAAATAAAAACAAGAAAATTCCCATACCGCCCGATCGATCGCGTTCATATTATATGAAAACCCAAAAAAATGAATCTTTCGGCTATTTACATTACTTATTTGCCAAAAATTATTTATTGTCACTTACTTATGATAATAAAGAATTTTTCGACCATGATTGATGATGATGATATAGATCGACCATGCTTGATTGACCAAGCATGGTCGATCGAGCGCTTTCACGAGTTATTGTAACATTTGCAACTCCAAGCCTCAGTTAATCTTTATCAATACGTGCAGCTTGTCTTTTGTAAAAGGATAGAGTAGACGACGTCCAAGTATATGTTTAAAAAATGATGACGGAATTTGAAATAATTTACATTCGGTCTATTTTAGGCCAAATTATACGACATGAAACATAATAGGGATTGTTATTCCGTATTTCCGAGTAACAACCATTTAAAGTTTGCGGTATTCATTTGTCATTTTATACCTTAAAAAACGTTAAACCTTAATAGAATTCGGTTATTTACTTGATGAACCTAGACTTCTGACTTTTGCTTTTTGCTGCAAGTTTGTTTTTCGATGTAATCTAAAATAATTTGTTATGGAAGGCTAAGTTATTGTAACCCACATAACGTACGTACATAGGGCGCACTATAAGTTTCCGGAATTGGCCACTTACATAAACAATATTTCAAAAGTAATTACAACATTTGAAATTGGAACTCTTTAGTTGTAGAATACAATTTGTTTCATCTGACTGGCACTTGTTTTTAGATTGTGGCGTCATTTTAGAAATTGGTTGTCTACATCACTACGGATTTAACTCGTTAAAATTTTCGTAGTATGATTTTCTACGACTTTAAGTGTAATTTTATAGCTCAGCGGAGCGTTGCTTGGCATCAAACTGCTTTTGGCGATGAAACATCATGCAAGACGACTGTTTATAGCTGGTTTGCAGAATTCAAACGCGGTCGTGTCATTCTCGGTGACGAATTTCGTGATGGTCGCCCGTCCACTGCTGTAAACAACAAAAACATCGATACTGTACGCCGTACGATCAAAACATACAGGCATGTGATATACCATGAGATTCGGGCGTCTTTAGGCATAGGCATTAGTCAAATACAATCAATAACTACACAAACATTTGGGTGTGAAAAAGCTGTGCTCTCGGTGAATCCCACACAATTTGACAGAGGCTCAAAAAACTGATCGCGTCACTTAGTGCAATGCCATGCTTACTAAATTCAACGAAGGGGCGTAAAATTTGGTATAGGACATAGTGACAGGTGACAAAATATGGATTTATAGTTACGATCTCAAAACAAAGCAGCAATCGAGCGTATGAGTCTTTCGAGATGAGCCGAAACCAGTCAAAAGTGACGCGCGTGTGAAGTGCCTATAAGCGGATGATTACTTCTTTTTTAAATAAAACTGGACACGTGGCTACTGTTGCTTTAGAGAATCATTGTACCGTGAATAGTAATTGTTACACGACCATTTGTTTGCCGGAAGTTATTGACACACTCCGTAAAAATAACCGTAAACGCTGTATCCCATCCGTCCGAACCATCCCGCGTCTAGTCCCGACCAGGCACCTTGTTTATTTCCAAAAATTAAGAACCAGTTACGCGGCCAACGATTTTCATCACCTGAAGAGGCTGTCGAAGAGTATGAAAATTGTCACGGAGGAGTGGCATAAATGTTTTCAAAATTGGTTCATTCATATGAAAAAGTGCATTAACGCTAACGGAGAATATTTTGAGAACCAAATCCATTTCTGACCATTTATAGTATTTTTTTCTTATTTTACGCCTTATATGTAGCACGTCAGTACTTCGTAGTAGCCATTATTCTGCCACGAAATATTAAAACGATAAATAGACGAGTTCCATGACGAGTCTAAAGGTATTGATAATAATATAATACGAGTACATAAAATACAATATTACATGCATTTGTATGATTAACTTTGTTGTTATTTGTTGTAGACGTCCACTCAGTTCCTCAATATTTAGAGAATACCAGCATTTGATTGTTTTACATGCGTAGCTTGACAAATGCTGAAACGTAAAGACCATTTTGTATCAAAATATTTGATGATTAATTGTTTTACTTCATATTTTCTTATGAAAGAATGAGACAAATGATTATTTCTTTCTTTTCCTCTTTCTTTCTGTACATGTAAACGCATGTAAATGTAAGCTCAATTTTCTTTTGACCGACTGTATAATAAAATAAATGGTTGCTTTATTTATTAATCCATCAAATAAAAAAAATATTAGCGAAGGACCATATTAGAAATGTAGATTAAGTTTAGAAAACGAATTTAGATGTTCTGGGTCACACTCTAAAATCAACTTCATTCCTACTACTGCTGCCTCCGTACCCGAACGGTTACCATGCTCTGCTGCCACGCAGAGGTCCCGGGTTCGATTTCCGGGCCGAGAGAAATATTTGTAAGGCCTATATTTATTTCTTTCTCGCGAGTTTGGTTGTAATTTTTGGTTGTCTATGTTTGTGTCCATGGCACCCTCGATTCATAGTTTCCCTAGCGAGGGACTATTAGTGAGCAGGCGTCATTATTATTATTTATGTCCAGTACTTATATAGTATAGAAAATGTCCACTCATATTAGCATGCTATAATAGATTGATTCGGTGACTTGTTGTTATTACTATCTACCTAATATACTACTAGCTGGTGGCGTTGACTACGTCTGCATAAGAATAAGTACTTTAAGTAGCCTACTGTACTATACTAATACAAATATTCATTACAAAAGGTGTGAATAAGAATTTTCAGATCATTCACGAGACTGTTCACGTGAACATGAACAGACAACCTGACCGGACATAAATTTGTAGCGTGACTGTAATAGATTACTCAGCAGTGGACTGACCGAATTTCAGTTTGCAAGATCAGACTGCTGAGTAAATGTTTCCTTTAATTTGCGTTAGAAAGAACTTTGTAATATACACGCACACAGATTTTATATAATTTTTAGAAATAAAGGTTTATTTGAATCCAGACAACGCTGTCTCATTGACGACGGAATTTTCCTGAGTACAGCCAAGACTACTTTAGCCGTCAGCCTATCTGATCAGTCTTGTGACTCTGTGAGACTGGCAGTGAGAAAATTAATTCCTTTGTACCCCTTATTTTTCCCACCTTCCGTCTGTTGCCTTAGGTCGCACGATAATACGTACTTAAAGTAGTTTATGGTTGAATCTAGGCGGCTAGGTAGGAACCTAGATTTGTGATAGTACAGTTTTCCCTTATTATTTCATGTATAACCAGCTAGCTTTAATTACGGTACACGGCGATATTAAACAGTAACATTCATTATCACACCCAACAAATACTTTACGGAGACAGAAATAAAATTAGTTGACTCTACAACATCTCTTACTTGAGTAGTGATTGATTGTCCATACAAACTTTCATCACCTATTTTACCTATTTTCAGATTTATTTTTGTGACAAAAAGTAGCATATGTCCTTCTCCTAAGTTCATCTTTCTCTGTACCAAAATTCATTCACTCATCATTCGTAACAAACAGAGTTACTTTCACATTTATTATGTTACAAACTTACATAATAAATGTGTAATAATAATTTATTTGGTTGAATATTGTGCCGACGGCAATAAATCTTATGAATAAAATGAAAAGTACCTCTATTATTAACTGATGTAGATAGCTATGCCTCAATTAATACTTCAAAACTAAATCATACTTAGTGTTAGAAGTAATCGTTTGTTGCCGGAACGTTCTTGCTTGTTTGACAAATGTATGTTTAAGAAATGATATCATTTTTTCCGGATGTAAAACCGCGTAAAGCAAACCAACGTTTCTGTCTCTTTAAAGGTCCATGGTTAGCACTGCCTGACGAGTCATATTTGAAAAAGAAAAAGTTTCAATTCCAATGTGTGTCAATCGCGAAAACCTATGAACCTATGGAATGTTGTTTTATTTTTAATTAACCCGTAAAGTATCCTAGAGACGTACGGTGTCCCTTAGGGGAAGGAGGTACATAAAGAGGGCGTTAAGGGAAAACTGCAATAAAGGTACAAAAAACATACGTTTTTATATTAAAACTAATCACAACTCTTTGGCAATATATTAAAGTATAATTTGCCATATTCTTCGGTTAACAAATTAATCAACTAGCATATTTTTTTTAAATTATACTGGAACCCTAAGAAAACCCCACTATGCCCCAGGGTAGGGGCAGTACGGGGTACAAAAAACGGGGCAGTATGGGGTTTTTGCAAAAGAATTACCAGACCTATTTTTGCGGATAAGCAGTAATGTAAGCAATACTGCGTTCCGATTTTGAAGCGTGCTGGTGAAATTACAGTTACATTATCAACATTGTCCCAGTGACAGGCGCAGTGGTGGCCGTTGTGATTTAAATCTGTGAGTGGCACTGCAACTGTTACTTTACTTTGCCCCACATTGCACGCACAAGCTCCAGCCTTTGGATATTGGTTTGCTGGTGAAATTACAGGCACATGGTCAACTTATGTTTCAGGGTCACTGGCGTAGTGGCAGTGCCCTTTAGATCTTTGCGATTTAAAGCTCTGAGTGGCACTGCACCTGTTATGAACAGGCGTGTTCCTTACCACCAGGCGCACGACTTATTCGTCCCGCCCCTTGATATTATAAAAAAAGACTCGTTTTACCAAGGGAATCATTATAACCAAGGGAAAGGGCAAATGAAGCCATAAATTACCGCTCACCAACGAGTCTTCAACCATGAAGAGTTTTGTAATCCTCATTAGGCTTAATAGCATGGAACTGGTTTTAGTTTTATATGCAAATACTGGTGCTATTCAGCCTTGAGTAGGTACGATATTGTATGTGTAGTATTGCATTTTGTGACATTATTTTCCTTTGTTTGCAGGTGTCACAGCCGGCGGCGGGGGCTGGGAACCCTTAGGGCAGCCGTACTTCGACAACAGCACGAAGCGCGAGGCCACCGCCGCCGTGGGTCAGCCCGCGTACCTCCACTGCCGAGTCCGGAACCTCGCTGACAGAGCGGTGAGCACTCTTACTATCTTCTTGTTAAATTGTTTCCTCGTAGCTTTTTACATACTGTTTTGTCGATCATTCGACGACACATTCGTGGAGGGTATTGACGCGAGCTATCGTTTACACATTCGTGCGATGGTCCACCTCGACATTCGCACGCGAACATGGATGAAGTGAATGTTATGGTGGCGCGCGCACTAAACATTGAGTTTATACAAGTATTTGGATGTCCTACGTAAAAAAAAAAAAAAGTTGTAGAAAATGTTGGATGATATACTGTCGTCGCAATATTATGTAAACACTAAGTTCGCGTTCGTGTCTTTGATTCGCGCCCGAAAAACCATTCTCGACGCGAGCGCACTAGTGGCGAGGCAAATAGCGAGCGCACAGAGACCTGGGTGTAAATTTGTAAATATTTAAACTTAACTACCGCGTTTGCGTTAAGATTTTTATTAGATAGATCTTAATCATATGTTTATAAGGTTTACATTAAAGTCTTCACGCTAATACGACAGTGTTAAGTTTACATATTTGAAAACCTATACTAAGGACCCTGTTCGTATTTGTGTTTCGCTATGCCATTCGTCTCGCCTCTCGCGCGAATGTGAAAATACGGGATATTTGAAATTGGTTGCACAGCTTAAATAAACTACACATGTTTTCAAATTTTGGTGATAAAAAAATAAGAAAAGATAGCAAAAAAGCATGTAAATAAAAGAGGTAGACATTTTTTAAAGGTTACGCGTCAAGCCGGTACATAGATTATAATGTTATGGAACAGATTGCAATGTGAAACCACAATGGAAAGGGTAAACAAATTTATTTTGTTACTAAACAAACCGTCAATTAAACTCTACTACATTGGAATTTTCTTACACTTGTATGCATTTCTGCACTTGCTCCTTAATTAGAAAAAACAAATTGTCTGAAAATTTATTACCTAATTTTGGACTAGGTCTAACAACATCTTAGTTAAAAACAAAAAATCGAACCTTGTTAGTCATCTTAAGGTATACAAATATTAAGTTTTCGCGATTACTAAATTTTATAAAAGTCTAACGCGGGAAATCTCCCACCTTATCGTTCCACGCATAGTGACTCCACCTGGGAAGGAAGGAGTAAACTCTTCCTTCGGCTAGCGTCGCGTGTCGCCGCATATGAACGGGTTGAGAAAAAACAAGCCGCGAGCATAAGATCGGGTTGAGAACAAACATGGCGCGAGCACACCTTTCTGCGTTTTTGAGTGTAACTTTTCGTATATTTTATATATATTACTGTACTGTTATAAATGTTTGTAATAAGTGTCAAAACTTAAATATATACAAAATGCAAATTGATAGTTAACTGTATTCTCCTACAAAGCTACAGAAACAAAAACTATGATGGAAACAAACACCCATCACAAAGTATAATTATTACAAAAATAACAACCAAAATTAACATATACACTCGAAATGCAATATTGTTGTTGGTGCTAAGTTCAATACCAAAATCAACGAGACTGCCAATGTTTTTGCCAAACGGCTTGATGTCAAAGCGTCATTTCATCGGCTCTTGAAGTCGGACACTCATTATTAGGAACATAAAAAATACGTTACAAACTTTTATTTTATTCTTGGTTTGTTTGCTAGGTATCATAAAATAAAATATACACTCATCAAAATCAATAACTATAACAAAACAACAATAAGTAGGTGTGTAAAAGTTCAAGCAACAAAAATGCACCAAAACAATTTCTACAGAGAATCGAACCAACTATTGATTGACCAACTAGATATTGATTACTCGCACGCTAAAACGATCCTATCCGGTTAGACGAAATGAAATATAGTTACATATCTTGAATGACTGTTGCATGTGTACGTGCAAGTACAAAATTGAAATAACATTTTTCTCCTGAAGAATACTTTCACCAAAATATTCTGCAAATGTTGTTTTAATAAGGTTTATATACTTTTAGATGCTAAGGTGAATTTTTAAAATGATAAAATCCGTACTTCTGTGGAAGTAGCTTCATCTATTGTAAACAAAGAACCCGTCAACGAAGCTTACTAAATTTCCTTAATGTAAAATGACATTTCAAATATTGGCTTCACTATTTTTGCCTCAAAGAAAATGTCGTACATGAATTTAAAAATATTTTAGACAAAAATAACGTGTTTTTTAAAAAGAATTCTTTCATTCAAGACTGTGACGTTATTTTTTTACGTTTTTTCTAGACAAATATGTTTCCTCATTTACAATCGTGTGTGGACAAAAAGTAGATGATATATTATTAATGAATACATATGTGTTTGTGAATAATGTTTCGATTGATAGATGTATAATGTTAGGCAGTTCGATTATATTCATTGGCGGGTAGTAAGAATATTTTTCTGAAAATCGTTGGTATAATAAAGCAGCATGTGATCATACGTCTAAAGTGCTTTTATCACAAGAAAGAATTATGTACATATGAAATTGTATAATTTTCCTATTGCAGCACAAAATAGTCATCGCCTAACTCCGTTCTTACACGCATTTTCCACTAAGCGACTCCTTTAGGTTCAACTCACACTGGCGGCCGCATTCCGGGTCGTCTGTTGCATAGCGACTAGTAGCTTACGGATCCATAGGACCCCGACAGTCTTCCCGCAGTTTTTAATACGATCGGTTGTATTCTAGTGCTTACTACAATTATGTAGAACTATTAATTCACAACCAGAAAAAGAGTTATATTATAGCAGTCATTGAAGGAAGACATAGACGACGATACACTCATTTTGCTAATTTCTTCCTATACCTATACACATTTTTTTCTACTATGTTATCTTTATATCTCTCGAATCATATACATAGGGTGCGTTTTTAGACACTAAAACTACTACTACTACAGGAGCAGTGCAGAGCCGCCCACAAATCGCGCGACGCGGTACATTGCCTCGTCAGTGCTCGATATAAATTCATACTAAACAGTGGGTCGCGGTCGCCAACATCGGAATGCTACTTTAAAACTAGCCGCTATGGCTGCGGTAACTCGCGGTTAGTCACTCAGTGGAAAATGGCACTTAGAATATTTAAACTTCTGTCCTAAAAAGTGATCATTTACACCAAATTATGTAGTATATATGTAAAGTATGTAGCTTTATTACACCAACAAGGGTGCGAATTATATACTATTCTACGTTTTCGTTATCGTCATCAACTCATTTGTACGTCCCACTGCTGGGCACGGGTTTCCTCTCAGGTAAAGGTTTAGGCCATAGTCCGCCACGCTGGCCCAATGCGGGTTGGGGACTTCACACGTCTTCCGGGGGCTGTGAACCTTCTTCGGCGTGCAGGTTTCATTATCATATTTTCCTTCACCGAAAAACTCATGGTAAATTTCAAATTAAGTTTCGCACTTAAATTTCGAGAAACTCAGAGGAGCGAGTCCGGATTCGAACCCGTGACATCTGCTTGAGAGGCTGTAGGTCAAACCATTAGCTATCGTTAGGCTATAAAAATACTTTATCAATGCACATACTTTAATGTGCTCATATGTTTACCGTTGACTTAAGAGTAAAACGTGATAACATAAAGGTTGTATAGCTATTATTTATTCGTATCCTTAGTTAGTGAAAAGCTCGGCTTTTCAGCTACAAGGCTCCCATTCTCGTCTTTTATGTGGCTTTCGATGCGAGGGAGAAGTGAATGGTGGCCAAATTGCTAGTGAAGGGGCTGAGTCATTCGCGGCCACAGATTGCGCCGATTCACTCCAACGTTTACGCTCGTTTCGTATCGAAGAAATCACTGACCAAATAACTAAAACGATTCATCCCATTCATTTGTTATGATTACGTTACTTACATAGTTTCCGTTCTCTTTTCATAAAACATTTCTGTCGTTCTTTCCACAGAACAATAAATACAGTAGAAGTGGCAAGTAAGCGTAGCCCGCATGCCAGTTGTTACGCGTAGTTACGCGTACTTGGGTTCAGTCCACTATTATCGCTTTGTACGTTATGATTGTGTCACTTCTTTGGCGCAACTTCTTTAAAATCGTAGAAAATAGATAAAAGTAATTGCCTTATTGTGCTGTTTTGGAATGCAAAAATGATAGCTGCACCGTAAATATTATCCGTGGTGGTATTTCATAGCATCGGTAAGTCTTATTTTAATCAATTTCCATTTTCTGCAAAAAACAAACGAAAGTAAACATTATTCCAATGCAATCAATGCAATGTGGTTGCGTTTTGTCTTTCGGATCGTCGGTTCTTTTTATATATGTATATATAGAATAATACGTTTAAACGTATAAACGTATACGATCTATTACCAGTAATTAACATTTTTAATTGATAGTATACAGCCCCTGGCAAAAGAGTATTGCAGAAAACTCGCCATTTTGTCTCAAAATGTTGTGCTGCATGCAACCACATTATTAAAGATAGAAGACCTTAAATTTGTATTTTATTTTAAGATAAGTACAACATAGAATGTGTTAATGTTTCGGAATGTAGATTCTATAACATGATGACAGTAGAACATAAAAGAAATTGAGTTTGCCTCCAATGTAAATCAAAACAACCCAAGCACGACAACACAAATACGCCTGTAAGTCTACAGTATCCTGATACAGCTTTCAATAACAGTTTACTCGATTCCACCGACAAAGTTAGCGCTGAAATAGACAATATAACACATAGAAAAAACCATTATCACGTATGCCGAGGACGAACCTTTGTGCATAAATAATACGCTTCCAGAAGGAGATACTATAAATCGCAGCGGAGAAACTAGTTCGATACTGCTTAAGGAATTGCGAGCGCTAAGATCTCATTTTACTATACAATCTCAAAGACAAGAGTTACACGACAACGAACTTACAGAAACTGTAAGAAATAAACAAGCATCAATAGTGTTAGCGATAGATACACTGTTTTAGAAACACAACTTAAAGGTGTGACAGCATCAGTTGTGCAAAATACAAACAAAATAAAAAAATTGGAGAGAAAAAACAAGCAATTACGACAAATATTATTGCAATCC